AGATTACCAGGGTCCTTTTGGGCCCGAATGATCAGTGTGCATGAGGTTGCGAACTCAAAACATGGCATGTTCTTGCTACTTGAGGAAAATACTTTTATTTTTTAGATGGACGATTTGAACTTGTTAGGACATGAGTGTATATGTCAGTTGGAATTGAATGGGTTGTGGTAATATTAACTAAATTATTGTGACTTGCAAGTTTAGAATATGCAAATGGTCATGTTAAATGTTGCATGTGGTACTTATATACTTATCTTTTAATTTATGATTATGACATGAGGAATTATATAAGTAGTACACATTCATAATAATGTGATAAATCCAAAAATTATGATATAATAAATGATAATATATGTAATGTGCTATGGTAAAATCAAAGTACAATAAGAAAAAGTACAAAAGTTAAGGCATGTTAAAGAGGTTCGAGCATTTGCTGCATATTAGAGTCGACTATATACATCAAGAATCGACTGTCAAGCCATTAAGAGTCGACTATATGGGAGCAACATTCGACTCCAAAATTCCAGAGAGGTTGGAGCACCATGTCGCAGGTTAGAGTCGACTCTATACATGAAGAATCGACTCTAAATCCTCCTAGAGTCAACTATATATGACCAACATTCGACTCCCAAATTCCAGAGAGGTTTGAGCATCCTGCTGCAGGTTAGAGTCGACTCTACATATGAAGAGTCGACTCTAAAGCCTCAAAGAGTCGACTATATATGACCAACATTTGACTCCCAAATTACAGAGAGGTTTGAGCATCCTGCTGCAGGTTAGAGTCGACTCTACATATGAAGAGTCGACTCTAAAGCCTCAAAGAGTCGACTATATATGACAAATATTCGACTCCCAAATTCCAGAGAGGTTTAAGCATCCTGCTGCAGGTTAGAGTCGACTCTAACATAAAGAGTCGACTCTAAATCCTCAACGAGTCGACTATAAATAAGCAACAGTCGACTCCCAAATTCCAGAGAGCAGGGGAAGTTCCCCCTGGTGCGTATAGTCGACTGTGTTCTTTATAGAGTCGACTCTTAACCCATAAGATCAACTATATATGACCAACATTCGACTCCCAAATTCGAGAGAGATTTGAGCATCCTGCTGCAGGTTAGAGTCGATTCTATATATGAAAAGTCGACTCTAAAGCCTCAAAGAGTCGACTATATATGACCAACATTCGACTCCCAAATTCCAGAGAGGTTTGAGCATCCGACTGCAGGTTAGAGTCGACTCTATACATAAAGAGTCGACTCTAAACCCTCAAAGAGTCGACTATAAATAAGCAACAGTCAACTCCCAAATTCCAGAGAGCAGGGGAAGTTCCCCGTGGTGCGTATAGTCGACTGTGTTCCTTATAGAGTCGACTCTTAACCCATAAGAGTCGACTCTAATATTAAAAAGTCGACTAAAGGTAAAAAATTACAACAACTTCATATGAAATATCTATGTAA